AATTGACTTTGAGATACCAAACGTTTCGCCCACGACTGCGGTGGGCATCTTCAGTGGTGAGGTCAGTCGCGAAGTGTCCGGGACGGTGGCTGACTGGCGACTGACGCCGCGTTGGTCTCGGCCGCTCCATTTATAGGCCTAGGGGGGTAGTGGAGGGGCGGTTTCGCGCGCTGGCTTCTGATTGGCTGTCGCTGCGCGAACTGGTTTGTGATTGGGTGTCGACCGAGATGAAAGTGGGGCAGGGGTTATTATTATTGTACAGTTTTACCTTGGGGTTTTGGAGAACGGGATGTCAGGCAGAACTAATTTTGACTCCTTTCCTGTTAAAATTGTTCGGGTGTTTGAAACTTTCTATGGCTTCCCGTTGTAAGCGGGCGTGATAGTGATTTGTAGATGATAAAATCTCGGTGTTGTGGAACAAAATGTCGTGTTCTTTTCCTGAAAGAGCATGTTCAGTCACAGCAGATCTTTCAGTGTAGCCGAAGCGACAGTTCCGTTTATGCTCCGTAAGGCGAGTGTTGACAGAGCGATGCGTAGTTCCTATGTAAACTGAACCACAGGAACAGGGAATCCTGTACACACCTGCGGTCATTAACGGATTTTTCGGTCGGTAATGACAACAGGTCATTACAGGCTAATTTAGAAAGTTACAAATCACAGAAAAGTCATCAAATCATTGAAATATGTGCACATAAAATATCTCATTCTTACACACAAATGGGCGCATTTATACACAAATCTCATATGTTTCCACAGCCTTTCACCTTAAACCAAAGGAAAACTTGCTTCAGTTGCAACTCCACAATGATTATCTTTGTTACGAGCCATTTTCATATATCCCTCTTCTCCCCAACTTGTGCCATACGAATTTTTAATGAGCCAGTAGTCAGAACCGTCATCAGTGGTTCCATAACCCACAACCAATACTGCATGATCCAAAGTTTCATTACAGCACAGAGGTTCAAAGTACACACCTAAAATAAAATTAGAAACGATTAATACACTCTACTTAACTTTCCAACATGACCAGAATGTTAAAACTGTACATATTATTAGAGCAACTAGATTCTAACAGTAACTGCTTTTTAAATGAAAATCATTTTACACATTGTCAAAGTTTAGCTCCTACTTCAAAATGCATAAAATTAGTTCAACAAACTTGAGCACCGAGGGTGTAATGCATATATATATA